GATAATCTTTATTTCATGCAAGTTGATTTTTCTATTTTACTTGGTGTAAATTATGTATTTAATATTTTGCATTCTCCCTAGATAATTTTCTTACTTGCTTGTATTTGTTAGTACTTACATTTCTCTCATTTATGGTATTTATGTTAAGTAAGAAATAAAAGGAAGCAAATAATATATTAACAAAAAGAAAAGGAACATAAAGGCCAATTGGTCCAAACCACAATCCCCAAAACCTAATAAAAGCCCTTCAAACTCACTTTGTGCGTCCCCTTCCCAGCCGCCTCCTCCTGCATCCCCTTTCCTCCATTTTTCCATTTCCTTTTTCAACAACGCTTTCTCTCTTCACATGTACATAGCAAACCAACGGAATCATTGGCCAGATAGCCTGGCGCCTTCTCTCTTTCCAAGTATGTTTATATATTTACATCTTAGAATTTCTCAATCTCATACACCTACTTGATTTGAATTTTTGAATTTATATTCTAACAATTTGATAGATATTGTTCAGTATTGTGATAGGTATTGAGTGGAACCTAGAAGATTATAATGTAATGTTGGGAGAAGCCACAGTTCGTCGAAAAGACGTTACAAATAAAAATTAGATGAAAATCCATTCAAATTTTTTTAGAAAAGTATACAGGTTTGTTTTCTTATCTTGTTGCTTTGAATTTTCCCTCTTGTTATATGCTAAAAAATCTTGTAAAAGAATTATCTAGACATAGTTTTTCTCTCTCTCAACTTCTATTTACATTTATACAAATCAAACTTGCATATTTTATTAATGGTTCGCTCATTCTTTTGTGCTAATTTTTGTTTCTTTTGAATTTACAGGGTGCATTTTAATATGTTGAATGCAAGTAGATCAAACATCAGTCTTGATGCAAAGAGTGAAATTACTTCATCCTTGACCGCAGAAGATCATCTGGTGGCAACATCATCAATCCCCAGATCAAATACTTAGGAACTTAGTTTTGTTTTGATGTGGAACCCTTTAGAATTTTATAGATTATAGTTGAATAATCGAGTCTACTTTAGATAGATATATATATTTTATAATTAATTTTTGAAACTTTTTGATGTAAATTTGTATAATAAAGTGATATTCAAAGTTTATTATTGTGTGTTATATGGTTTGATCAAAGATGTATGGATATGGAATATTTGAAAATTTTAAAAATATTTAGTGAGGTAAAAAAGGAAAATAGCAACGCATAGGACAGAAACATTTATTATCTCTAATAAATAATTTTTTTATAAATAAAAATAAAATGTAATAATAATCTAGTCACCAAATAAAACATACTAAAAAATTAAATCATGGATATCTTGACGATTTATAGCTATGAAATTATGGGTTCGTAGCTAAATATAAATACTATAATTCAAATCTAATATGTGAGCACAACTAGTATTTGAATTTTGTGGCTAAATAAATAATATTTTTTGCCACAGAATATCCCTTTGTGGCTAAAGTATAGAAGATAGCTGCAAAATAGATTTATCGTGGCAAAAGAATAAAATCATTAGCTATAAATATATATATATTTCGTGGCAAAATATTTTATTAATATAGCTACATCACAAAAATTCTAGTAGCAATAAGTACTGATCCTTAGCCACGAAATATTAAAGTTTGTAGCTAACTTTTAGTTACGCTACTTCTAGCTACGGAAAAAATTATTGTGGCTAAAGTGTTTAGCCACGAAAATTTTCATGCTTAGCTACGACGTAGTTCATAGCTGTATATGTATAATGTTGTAGTGATTGCTAGATAAAGACTATTGGACTGGGAGAATATTTGGCATTTGGGCCGCGTCACAAATGAGCTCAATACTTGTATAAGTTTTTTTTGTATAGTTAATAGACTGGTTAGTGGACGGGTCAGTGGCTTTGGCCCAATCTATATATATATCATCTTATACACATTTTGTAAATAATTTTTTATTGTGAGAAAATATATCAGATTTTAATCGAGAAGCTTCTCTCTTCTTCTTCTCTTTATTCTCCCTAACCCTAGCTAAGCTTTTCATGGCAATTTCATACATTTGAAGTTTATCATGGTATCAGAGCGAAGATTCGTGTAGATCTCGCACTCAGCTCTCGTCCGATGGTAGCCTTACACGATTTTGTGGATTTTCTCTCACTTTTATCTCAGTTGTGCTTCGTCAGATTCATTGATTTTTCTTATGTTTTTTGCTGTTTGATGTAATTTTGAAGACCGTTCTTCTTTCGGTAGCGAAGAAGAGTGGTAAATCTGAACTTGTTATCACTCATTTTCTGTTGCATTTAGTTTTCCTTGTCCTAGGGTTTTGCATATGTAGTTCTTCGCATAAAATTGGTCTGATTCTGTTGTTTTCAATATGACTTTGGGAGATAGTACCAGCTCATCTTCTACATACTCCCCAAACCCTTCGAGTCCTCTGTTCATACATTCATCTGACATTCCTGGCACTTCTTTAATGCCTATACCATTTTCTGGTACCGAGTTTGGGGGTTGGAAGAGAAAAATCATAGTTGCTTTGTCAGCAAAGAATAAAATAGCCTTTATAGATGGCACATGTCCCAGACCTCCTGATAATGCACCGGAATTAAAGTTTTGGAATAGATGTAATAATATGGTAATATCCTGTTGACTAGCTCTCTATCTCCTGAGATTGCTGAGAGCGTTCAATACTCTGAGCCTGCTGAGTGTATTTGGAAGCAACTAGAAAGCAGATATGGTACTTTTAATGGGAACAAAATATTTGAGATCAAGAAAGAATTAGCTTCCACTTGTTAGGGATCTCTTGATATTGCATCCTATTTTAACAAATTGAAGAGGTTGTGGGATGAGTTGGCCTTCATGAACAAGCATTCTGTAAATCCTTGTAATTGTCCCTTGCAAAGGGAATTAGAGGAAGACAAATTATATCAATTCTTAATGGGACTTATGAAATATATGTTAGTGTTAGGAGCAACCTTCTTATGAGATAACCACTTCATTCTCTTGACATTGCTTATGACATATTGCTCCAAGATGAGAGTTAGAGGCATATTAGTTCTACTCCTCAATTCAATTCAGACTCAGCCTCATTCAATGCAACTGTCAATAATTATGCCAAGTTTCCTCCTCCTCTTCTTACAAAACAACAATATAATCAAAAGATAAATTTTGATCAAAGGACAAATGTTGATCACGACAAAGTCCCCATCTTTTGCAAATATTGTAAGAAGCTTGGGCACTTAATTGATAAGTGCTACAAGCTTCATGGTTTTTCTCTCAATTTCAAGTTCACAAAGGGGAGAAGAGTTACAGGAAATGCTACTACTGAGCCTGAGTTCACTGTTGTTGGGCATAATGCTGATGGTTCTTCTTATTCTGGTTCTTCTGAACAGAGTTCCATGATTCCTGGGCTGTCCATGGAACGATACAATCAATTGTTGACTCTGTTACAACAGTCCCATGTGTCAGATACTTCTCCTCAGTCTAATCTCATGGCTTCTGCCAATTTTGCTGGTACATTTCTATCTGGTCACTACAATAAAAATGGGCTTTAACGGCAATATAAAATAGCTTTAACGGAAATAATCATAGCCGCTATATGTTTCACCCGCCATGAGTGTTTCGCCATTGAAGTCGGGGTCGGCAAAGCCTCTAGCGACTATTGTCACAAAAGCTGGTAAAAGGTATGGTTTATTACCGCTAAAGATTATTATCTTTATCGGCAATTGTTTGCGGTAATTATAATGGCTACTAAATTCAATCCATAACGGCTAATTATACTGCTTTAGCATCTATTTTTATAGTCACTAAATTTAAAATAATTGCCGCTAAAAGTTTACATCTTTAACGATAATTATTTGTGGTAAGTATAATGGCTACTAAATCCAATCCAAAATGACTAATTATGCTCCTTTAGCATCTATTTTTATAGTCGCTAAATTCAAAGTTCACATCTTTAATGACAATTATTTTGTGGCAATTAAAATGTCCATAGTATCCCTTCTGAAAATATCTTACTTTGTCATTTTAGCGTCCATTTTAGTGGCTAATATATTTAACTAAATTTCCGCTAAAAGTCAATATTTTTGACGGTAATTGTTTTATAGCAATTATAATATCTGCAATATCTCTTGTGAAAACATCTTAATTTGTCCCTTTATACTCAATTTATTTAGCAGGTATAATCAACTAAATTAGCGCTAAAAGTCACAAGCGGTAATAGAAATATTGTAGCCACCAATAATAATAGTTACTGGTGCTAGTTCTAGTTTATGCATGGTTTCTCAAACAAACAATCTAACTTGGATAATTGATTCTGAGGTTACTGATCACATGACATCTAATAAAGATTTTCTTACTAATCTTACTCCTTTATCTGTTGCTTATCTTGTGTCTTTACCTAATGGATACAAAGTAAAAGTGACCAACACTGCTTCTTTTGCCTTGCATCCATCCCTCATTCTTCACAATGTCCTATATATTCTTTCTTTCCAGCACAATCTTATCTCTGTGCATAGGATCATTCAACGATATAATTTAGATGTTTTGTCCTATTTGCTTATGAATCTTGTTTACTTATACCACAATGCCCTTCTCTAAAGAAGCCTCTGGATTTTGGTAAATTGGACAGTGGTCTTTACAAGCTTGTCTAGAAAAGACCATCTTAATCTCAACTTTTTACCGATTTACAATCCATGAATAATGCTAATTCTTCATATGTTGTTCATGGTTCTACATTTGCTTGTAATTCTCTTGTTTCTAGTTCCATTCCTATTCCTCATGTTTATGCATCCACTTGTAACTATAGTTTTCCTAGCTTACCAAATATTTGCACTGTTATCCCTAATTGTAATACTACTGAAATGAATAAAATGAATGTTCTTTGGCATCAAAGACTTGCCCATGTTCCTTTTGTTAGAATGAAATTGTTTTCTTCTTATCTCAATTATCATCCAAACAACCTTTTATTTGTAATGTTTGTCCTATGTCAAGGCAAACTAGGCTACCTTTTCCAGATAGCTCCATTACTACTACAAAACCTTTCCAACTCATACACATTGATACATGGGGGCCTTATCATACACCTACACATTCTGGGGCTAGATACTTCCTTACTATTGTAGATGATTATACAAGAGCTATTTGGACAGATCTAATGGTGGCTAAAAGCAATGCATTTCTTTTGATAAAAGCATTCCTTGCAATGGTCCAGACTCATTTCCACACTAAAGCTCAAATCATTATGAGTGACAATGCCTTAGAACTGGGTTCAAGCCCTTCTGCCTCTACCTTCTATTCAGAACATAGAATAATTCATCAAACTAGTTGACCTTATACTCCTCAATAAAATGGGGTGGTTGAAAGAAAACATAAAACCCTTCTTGAGGCCTCTAGAATATTGTTGTTTTAGTCTACCACTGCAATTTTGGGGTGATTGCTTATTGACTGCCACTTATATTATTAATAGATTACCCTCCAAACTTCTTAATGACAAATCCCCTTTTGAAATATTGAGAAGGTCGTGGGAGCTATGCATAAGATGAGTAGGGGCAGAACGATCGGGCCAGACAAGATTCAGGTAGAATTTTGGAAGTGTGTGGGGAGAGCAGGTTTAGAGTGGTTAACTAGGTCGTTTAATGTTATTTTTAAGGAGAAGAGGATGCCGGATGAGTGGAGGTGGAGTACAGTGGTTCCATTGTATAAGAACAAAGGTGATATCCAGAGTTGTAACAATTATAGGGGTGTCAAATTACTAAGTCATATCATGAAAGTGTGGGAGAGGGTGGTTAAAGCGAGGGTGAGGATGACAATGTCTGTATCTGACAACCAGTTCGAGTTCATGCCGGGTCGTTCGACTACAGAAGCTATACACCTTGTTAGGAGGTTAGTGGAACTGTACAGAGAGAGGAAGAAGGATCTGCACATGGTATTTATTGACCTAGAGAAAGCGTATGACAAGATTCCTAGAGAAGTTCTCTGGAGATGCCCGGAGGCAAAAGATGTGTCAGTTCCCTATATTATGGTGATTAAGGACAT